AAGTGGCTCCGCCGTGTTTCGATTCTTCAGGCAGACTCCCGTACGCACCGGCGCACTTGGGGTTTCGCAGATGAGCAGTTGTGTTCTCTGCGTTCCATCCCGTGTTGGCGTGTCAGCCAGACTACCCTTCACAAGGTGCCGCTTGAGGCCGTTCAACGTAGACCTGTTGACATCTGAACGGGGTTTCTAGGGGCCGTATAAGTGTTTAAGCGTTATCCGCATGACGTCTGCAGTCTGCGTACTGGTTGCGCCATAAGTACAATCCATCTGCGTCCTTAGCGGTTCCAACCTCCGTCCATATACCGCCGTTATAAAGTCGGGGTGGCAGTCCATCTGCTTCGCCTTGTCCTTCCGCCGTGCAATTGCAATGAGACTGAGCGGGATATTCATTGGCGGGCGGTTTCGGCGAAACGGACTCCTCTTCTCCAAGTCACTGGAGACTGCGCAGAATGCAGCAGATGACGCATCCCTTGCACACACCAATGCGTCCACAGTGGCATCGTTCTCTTCAAACAATATGGATGCTTAGGCATTGCGCGCCCTATGCGTTCCTCCGCAGCAGTTGCCACGTACTGGCGAAGGAGTTCCACACAAATAGGCCACTGTTACTGCGCATTCCACATCAGAGAGGCGTGTAATTGCCGAGCAGCGGTTTCACGTAAATAATCCTATAAAGACAACCGCAGCATTAAACGCAATCACGCGAGATGCTATCGCTAGTCGAAGGGATGGCCTGCACATGACAGCAGAAATCCGTGTAAGTCCATTGGTACTACAACTTGCATATATTGCCCTGCATGAATACGGAATCCTCAAGCACTACCTGTATGCATCTCCCGCTGCCGCCTATGGCATTATGTTGGTTGATCAAGGCAGCGGAGGGCGCATTGCCGCAGATATCCAGTAATTACCACAACACCTGTTCAAAGAGTGGTAAGCAAGTATAACACGGTGAAACCGGCAAGCAGTTACCTGAAGCACGTAGCATAGACAGATTGTGTCAGGTCTCACTAAGATAAGGCATGAGAGCCCTCACTGGGGCCTTTTGGGCACGGACTAACACATTCAAAAGCAAGCACTTCTGTCGCCAAAGAATCCACAAGTTCAAGGAGGCAGCTGCGACGTGTGCCATGCGTCAGTTGACGTCAGTATCTATGCGCCTGTTGTCAGTCTACAGTATGCACGGCGCTGCTTAGCAGGTAAAGCGCACAGCGCTTTAATTGGAAACAACCGTAACATGCGAAGAGTAATTATTGCAGTATGATAATGCATACAAACTTGTAAAGCAATATAGGTGTTCCGTGAATAGAATGAGCAAAGTTCGCACTTACCAATTGTAAGGGAAATCCCAAGGGAAAGATTTACGAGGCGACACTCAATTTACCGTCATTCGATGATATTAAGAAACGCATTATGCACCTCAAATTTAACTTACCCGCGGCAGCACATACATGTGTATGCCCGCTCACCATGGTATCACGCACAACTTTTATGAAACCATCGCCCGCACACGTCGCGACTTATGCAATCCACTTGTTAGCAGCTCCCGGAGTCATCATCCTCTCGCTGGCACAGAGCGCAAACCGCGCTGTCCGCACATTCACCAGCCGTCGCCCTCCTTGTACGTGTTTGTGCGATGGCGAGCGGAAGTGCTTATTTTCCGGGTACGGAATTTCAGGCTGGGACCTGCAACCTCCACCACACAGGGTATCAAAGGTGACTTCCGTTTGGGACGCCTGCAAGCGCCGTTAATAACCCTCGAAACACCAGGACTGGAACTATAGCAAAATTCCTTGAGTGTTCCTTCTTGAACGGGTCGCTGGGTCAGGAAACGATAAGGTGTTAAAGGTCTTGATGGATCTAAAACTAAACGCCCGAAATACGCCCTGGTCAACCAATTACTGTCACGTTTCCTGCACTAGCATTCGCCGCTGTGTAGGTCACGTTAAGTAAGAAAGAAGTAGAATGAAAATGGAAGATAAAGGGGAATGAAAGTCATTTAACTGACAGATAACACCACTGAGTGAAGAGAATGACAGAATACAAACTAAAAGTTGGAAGATGGATATGGTCAGGAGAAGGGAAAGATTTTGTGTTGCCACTCAAGAGCGTCTAACTGACGCTCAAAACCCTTAACGGTAGACTCATTGCCTACACTTTCTGGAGGCAAGTTCCAGCGCTCGATAACTCTAAGCGATAACCGAGTTTCCGCCCTGAGCCGGTCAGAAGGCGGCTTGTGTAACTTCATGGGATGATCGCGAAGACAAGTCAACATAGCCGGGCTAAATAGCCAGCTAAAGTCCGCTCCAACCTTCCCTGTTATAACGCGGTGAGTAGGGATTAGGTCTCCTCGAAGCCGGCGGCAGTGCATTGAATACATCCTAAAGCTAAGTAGCCGCCCGGGGTACGATTGTCCCCGTAACCCTACGACAATTTTGGTACCTACCCTCAAAACCATCTCGAACTTCATCTTGTCCCAACCAAGGCAGGGCGGGCAAGCCTTGACGCAGTATTCCAGATGGGGCCGAACGAATGCTGAGAACAGCTTCACAACTATGTCGGCAGTAAAGATTCCGAAAGAACGGCGTATTAACCACAGCATTCCGAAACTCCTAATAGCGGCCTTCCTTCATTTGTCACCAGAATGCAAAGACGATGAATGGACGAAGCCCAGGTCAACCTGGTTGGAGTACGTGGCTCGTTGGGATTACTGAATTTGAACTGCAGCGTCTCTTAACATAAGCGAAGAACGCCTTCGGATTTTCCGAAGCTACATCTGCCAATTCGCTTTCGTACAACAGCCGAGCTTTCCTTAAGTGTTGTTTACACCTATTTCTAGCCTCGCGGTATCTGTCATAGGTGCTAGTTTTTGGAGCCGCACGGTAAGTCCTCCAGCACCTAGAACGCTTCTGGAGCAGTTATTTGCCAGTGCTAGCTATCCACGGCGGCCGTGCCCGTGTCTCCTTTCTCCTCTCAAGAGAAATTTATCCCAGTCCGCCTGAACCGCATCAATCACCGAGATTTCGCAACGCAACCCAGAAGCCTTGATACGCATTGCCTGATAGTTAGCAGCCATATGTTTGGAAATGGCTTAGCGATGCTCTGGTGACGCCTGGTCAAAGTACACCCGAACGATAAACAAACATGACCACTGACACCTAAGGGATAGCCGTAAGTGATGTCACCTACGAAGTCTAATTACTTGGCAACAACTAGATCCAAAATAGACGGTAGTTGGGCAGCCATGTTCCTAGTGCGGAGGTCCACGAACTGATGCAACGGTACTTGTAGCGTAAGCACAAGAAGGTCTGCACCGAAAGTACCTTCCGCCGAGTTGCATGAAAGATCTGCCCAGCAAACTTTTGGTAGATTGAAATCTCTCAGTTTCAAACACCTGTTTGCGGATTGGGAGCGAATAAAGCCAATGACCACTTTGCACGCACGCCCGGGGCTTCTATACACAAGTACAACTGTAAGTTGAGCTGAGGAATTGATAATCGCTACCGACAGAGCTTCGACCGTTTTATCTGCTGACCGAAACATGTAGGTACGTAAAACGTCAAGTCCACAGCTAACGTAAAGCGCAACATTCCTGTCTTGTCGACCAACAAAGCGGTCACGTCTAAATAGTGCTTAGCCAGACAGATGTACTTAACCGTCCGTGATGTCCCGAGACAGCCACGTTTCAGTGAATGCAAGTATATCGGGATGAGACCCATCTACAAGCAGACCTATCTCGCACATCTTATTCCTTTGGCTGCGTACACTGCTTAGCACTACCGGAAGGTACTCGTAATGTCCAGCCCTGGGTCGTGCGCTACCAGTGCTGGCACTGGTAGAGCGGAAACAGACCGCCGACTAATCACCCTAATACCCACCAACCAGAGACCTTGTTCACCGGCCGCTGGCCTGGTTTTGAGGTTCTTAATGGCCTCTTTTAGCTTCAGCCTATCCACTAATGGGAGGTCTGGCTGCAAGCTAACATCAGTACCCTGCAATCTGAAGTCAAACCGCAACAGCGCGTTGCGTTCCTCCGGGGTGGATAGGGCTAGACGAAGTAAGCGCGGTCAAGGGTATGGGGCGTTAACTGGGACGTTACCCAATCTAGTAAGTTTCCCGACCATTTCTTCGCAACAGCTGCGTAACCTCTTCCACTTCCGTGACACAAGCGTTACGATGACGCCGCCGTATGTCATACAAATCGCGCCTTGTTTAACGAATGTTATGTTGAAGACGCACAAATGCACGCATCTTCTGCGTCCGAGGATACGTCTGCATTATGTTAAGCACTATGCTTTCCTGATCCGCTGTTAGCCGCCGGTTTTCGCCTTAAAGCCAAGGCTTCCTATGTGAAAACTATGCGATTGCCAAAGCCAGGCGTTTCCAATCTCGTAACATTCTCTCTTAAAAACCGCTGAGAACCGCGCAGAGCAATTGTCACACCGGCACCGGTGAAAATATCTTCATCAGGCGGATACGCAACACTTACCGCTTTCCAGCAACATTCGATCGCTTACTATGCACGCACACTAACTGATTATATAGGTACTGGCATCTTCCCGGTAGCACCTGTCCAGTCTCCCATTGGTATGCTTTCGCAGTTTTAACGTTCCGACGAATGAATGATGTCACCGTTTCCATCTGAAAAAGTTTCAGATCCTCATTCATCGATGAAAAGTTTACCTATGGACCCTTGAAGATACGTCGGAATGCACAGGAGTCATCCACCATGGCTGCCATCGCCGGAGGCGGAAAAATGATTAACCACCGTAACGCATTTAAACGGTTCACTTTATTGATTTCTAATCCTTCTCTTAGCATATAAAAACGACGCTAACATAATAATAAACATATGCGTCGCAAGGCCCAAAACTTTCATTTATCAACGTACAACCTTGTGTACCACAATCACATTGCCAAAAGGTTATTGATCGCGATTGGCGTATCCGACGCTCCGCTGGTTGTGTTGTCGGGTTGGGGCTCTTTCACTATGCGATTAAATGATTAAAAAAAGTTCCTTAAGAAAATTGGCTCAACGAAAGTGCCTGATAGCTTCTTGCTTGAAAGAATTCGAGGATATCAGGCCCGACGATATCTACATCAGTCCCTTCACTGCAGTGAAAAGTCTCTACGGCATCACCACTGAATACATAGGTAACTGTTCGGCTCATATCGTCGTTTATATAATGAAAGGGATGGAACCGGACGTTTCTGTCGTTACTTGTAGAGACACATACAGCCGCTCCTCAAGTAACGTGCCCTTCCGGAACCGTCGTTCTTCTCGATCTCGGTACATTTCCCGAGGTCCACGTGAAAGCGATACAATCTTTCTACCCCTTTCAGAACTTGACGGAAATCGTACTCCATCAGAAGATATTGCAATTCTTGACGATAAGAAACCATATGCCACGAAGACACATGAGGTGTGCTTAATCGTGATGTAGTGATATATTTATTTCTTCATAGTTTGGGTGACCGATTGGTGTACGCTAGCGTGACTATTGAAGCGTCCCCCCCTTGTTGTGGTATGTGCGACGCTGCACAAAATACCGTCCGCGCTCTACGTAAATCGGCTCCCAATACGTCATAACGTATTACTGATTAACCGATATGTGACCAAAATATGTCTCATTTTGACTGCCAGGATCGTACAAATCGGTCACTCGCGCTGACTAGGTAAACGCTTTTATTACAAAGCGATTTATGAGTTGTGGCTAGTGTTAACGATGCATTTGCTATTTAATCGACAGTTTACTCTTGATCTTCTTGGTTAATATTTCTGCAGGTAATTGAAAACGTTCCTAAATGGGTCAGCTGGCCGTCCTCGTGTGCTTACTGGTTTCTCAGTTTTATTAGTCGTTACTAGCGCCTGATTTTGCGTCCCGTGTCGGCACGAGTGTCCGTTGTCCTTTGAGCGTCCCACGGGCGTCCGTTTAGATTCGTATCGGAGTCCCAACTAGACATTTTTTGGACGCAGAAAGGACACTTAAAAAAGGTGCGGGAAAACGGTTTTGAATTGCAGGTAAACTAGTGCTCACTCAGTCAACTAGTCATTCCGTGTTGCAAACATGCCAACACTCAAGGATAGAGAAACAACGAAGTGTAAAATGCAAGCAGTTATCTTTGCATGAACCATACGCCATAGATGTGCAATATTAGTAGCTAAGTACAAAGTATTCACCATAATGTATGACAAACAATCTTTTTCAGAGCTCATTTCTTCAAATTTACTTGCTATCCTGAGAGTCCCGTCCTGGACTCCTGAGTGTCCAGTGATGCCGACAGGACCTGTTGTCTTAGCGGTGGCGATACAATAATAAACTAGGTTGAGCTGTGTTTCGGAACTTATTCCAGCTGTTGCTGGAGATTTAAGGTGCATTTTCTTCCTAAAACGTCTACTTAAACGCCCTCTAACCCGTACGCTTAGCAGCTTTCATGCTCCGCCTGACTGATTTTCTCTTTCATCGAGTATCTGTATCTCGTTATGCAGCGTCACCTTTATGTGATTCTGAGGTTGTTTCACACCGTGCTTTCCTGCTAGGGCCAGACTACTTTACATTCCCCATCCTAAAATAGAATCGTAATTTTCGCCGCATACCGGTGCAGTTGTCGAAACTCCCTATGGTCCATGCTCCCAGGTGCATGTGTATCGTGTTTGTTTTCCAGAAAAGCGAGCATTTCGCATCATCGATCATGTCGACAGCACTGCATAAACCTGCTATTGTCATCATTACTCACTCTTAATGACAGCCCTAATGCAGTGACCGTCGAAGTGTTATGACTGTTTTTGTGTACTTGGCCGTCCCACTGCGATACGTTTGCAACGGATTTCGGTATTTTCGCTTCCAACCGACTTTTGCGCGCGCAGATAGACGACGAAGTATGCCCTCGGCTTGCGAATCCGTGCCTAAGCCACCGAAGCCTGTGCAGTGAAATTATGCGACTCAGCGGTCGGCAGTGTCTGATCTGAAAATCCTCCGACGAACATCCTCATTACTAATGTGTCGCGCTATCCTATACGAGCAATGCTTCGTAGGCACGAACAGGCCGTTTCGCGATCTTAGAGCAGGACCACTCTTACCGCGACATTGTAGACTCGGTCTTTCAAAGAAAGATTGTTGCGTCGAGGCCAGAGATGGCAGAGATTAGCAAACGCACCCCGGATCTTTGAGATGTGCGAAGAGACCTAATCCGTTAAATCGCCGGCGCTGGGGCAACTTCCGAGGTAAACGGACTTCTTTACCACTTCCAGAGAATGACCTGGAAAGGTTAGAGTAGGAGCAGCTTTTAACCAGTCTTCTAGGGATACCTTGCACTCCGATAGAGCAAAGGTCATTCCAAAGTGGAAGACAGACGCTTCCAACCCACACAGTACATTTTGGATGGCCTGTGAAGAGTCAAAAGTTTCAGCGATGCCTGCATAATCCAAATCGTCAAGTCTGTCTCGCGGAAGCGGCTCGATGCCGCTGAGTTCGCAGTTCTCTAAAGCGCTCTCCAGGATACCATCCGTAGCGGAATTGAACAGGTAGGGTGATGCTGGGCAACCCCGTCTCACGCCACTGATGCTACTAAAAGGAGCGAAAGTCCGCCGTACACCCGCACTCTACCCTTGCTATGAGAATAGAGGGCTCGGAGTATGTTGCCATACTTCTTGGACACTTTTCAACATACAACTCCAGTGAGCAGGTAGGTCAACTGCATCAAAAGCAACTCGTACGTCTAAGGAGACAATGATCGTTGGCCGACCGAACGTTTGACGACGCTGGAGTGTTTGGCGCAGCGCAAAGATGTGATCAGTAGGACTCCGGCCGGAGTGGAAACCAGCTTGCCCTTCGCTCTCGTAGTGATAACGGTGAGCGATTTCTACAGCTATGTGAAGATGCTCGTCTCTTTCTCGCGCGCACAACATTTCGACACAGCACCCGCAAAGCGTGACTTAGCGGCCACCAGCCTCGGGCCAGCCATGGACGCAAATCGATCATATCGCGATCAGTTACTGCTGGAGAGGCTGTGTCCAAAACTGTCGCTCGACTTGGAGCACCAGCGTGGACTCTGACCACGCACTTCTTTGCGCCGTTCTCCGGGTGCGTTTCGGTGGACGTCCGCAACGTCGATGTCAACGGATTGACACCAGCCAGCTGGCGAAGCCAGGTGTTCTTAATGTGTATCAACGTGCGCTGACATCCGAGCTGAGTAAGAGCCCACTGAACACCGTCGAAGATCACTGGTCGCATATTCATCAAACCTTACTATCAGCAGACATGTCTTCATGTGGCAAATCAAATTGCCAAATTGGAAAATAGGTCTCTATACAGTTTCTGGATGCTCACCGACGTATTGTGGCTGGAAGCGAATACAATGAGACTCGCAAAAATCTTAGGGCAAAACTGCGTGCTAGCCTGAAGAAAGACCGCAAATCCGGTGGTCTCATCGTGCCTCTGAGATGAAAAAACAGCCGCTACCGTTGTTAATCATCGTAAGTTATTCCGTGTGACACGGAAAACGAGCAGCAGGAGGTGTTAGCGAGACCATACGCGACGAGAGTGGGCAGCCGATCCACAGTCTGTCAAAACGCTTGGAACGTTGGGCCGAACACATTGCAAGGCAATTTAACCAACTTGAGTTACCGGTTTCTTTTTCGGGCATTGAACGCCCTTCTCCCTGGGTCGTCTCTTTGGGTCCGCCAAGACGCGCAGAACTCGAACGTGAGATCAGGCTGTTGAAATTGCATAAGGCCGCAGGAGCAGATAGAATTCTCCCCAGCCCTCTTCAAATTCGGGGGACCTGCTTTAGTAGATTATTTACACGAGTTGCTAGTGAAACTTTGGTAGCAGGAGACTGTCCCGACAGACCGGAGCCGCTCCGTCATTGTCCCAATTTTCAAGGGAAGCTCCAGTTCGGAATGCGTCAATCATAGAGGGATCGGTCTGACCTCAACTGCCTCTAAATTGCTTGCGTCTAACATTCTCCACAGACTGACGCACTCATGAAATCCAGATCCGTGAAGAGCAAACCGGCTTTCGTCGAGGTCGGGGCTGCATCAACCACATCTTCACCTTGCGTCAATTGTTGGAGCACCGCCATGTTTATTGGCGACCCACCGTTGTCGTTTTTCTTGACACAAAAGTTGCCTTCGACTTAGCTGATCTATGTGCCCTTTGGGACTGTCTGCTGAGGAAAGGTGTGCCTAATAACTGCGTAAACATCAAAGCGCTGGACTTGCATAGTTCGGGCAGGGTGAGGGCTTATGGCAAACTCGCCACCCTTCAGTATCACCAACAATGTGAGACAAAGTTGCCCACTGTCATTTTTCCTATTTAACTTCGTAGTTGACGAAGTCATGGTAACAGCATTCGGTGGACACGGCCTAGAAGGTGTCGAGCTACTTCTTGGTGAGCGACTTATTGACTTGGAGTATGCGGACGATATTGTCTTAATCTGTGACAGCTCCTAAACATGTCAAGCAACACTGGACTGATTAGCACTGGCTGTCTATTGTTTTGGGTTATGCTTTGCTCCATCGAAATGCAAAGTGCTTCTCCAAAATTGGCAGGGACCCACCCCTGCGCTCACGCTTTGTGATGATCAGCTAGAAGTCGTTCAGGGATTCAAGTACCTGGGCAGCTATATTAGCGCTCGTGAGATCGAAGATGAGATTACGAACCGTACTGCAAAAGCTTGAGGTGCTTTTGCTAATATTCGCCACCTGTGATGCAGACGCGACATTAATTTCACTCTGAAGGGCAGAGTTTATGACGCAACCGTCCGTTCAACTCCTATATGGTTGTGAAACCTGTCCCATCAGGTCGACAGACTTAGAGGCTCGTCACATTCGATCATCGCTGCCTTCGCAGCTTAGCTCATGTCTGGTGGACGCACTGCGTGAATAATGAGCGTGTTCGGCGTCGTGTATTTGGTGCAGAAAAGGCGAATGAACTGCTCAACACCATTGTATCACGCACCAGGCTCCGATGACTGGGCCACGCGTTGCGCATGTCAGCACACCGACTTCTGCGACGTACGTTATGCGCACCAATAGTGCGGTTGGAAGAGGAGGAGCGGAGGCCAAAAGGTTACTTGGTCGAGAGGAATAAAAACCCTTATTTCGAAACTGGCGTCGGTTGGTACATCCCGACTGCCTGGCTGGGGTCCTAACGACGATGAACACCTTTGGTTAGACACACCTGCTGATATGATGAAGAGCCGGTCCCAATGGCGTTTGTGTTGTGAGTTTCTTTGAGATCACGAACCGTATAGCAAAAGCTTGGGGCGCTTTTGCTAACCTTCGTCACTTATGGCGGCGGCGCGACATCACTCTCGCCCTGAAGGGTGGAGTGTACAATGCAGCGGTACGTTCGACCCTACTGAATGGTTGTGAAACCTGGCCCCTTAAAGCAGCGGACCTGAAGAAGCTAGTTACCTT